CAACCTTCTCTCTTGGCTCAGCTCCAAACCATCAACTTACTTGCTAAACTTCTGTCCTTTAACTCTCCTTCGGGACGGGAGCCTCTGTGGAAAGCTGGCTCCTGGCCATCTTGCCATCCCCCAGCCCCAGCTATTTTTTTGTTTTGTTTTAGTTGTCATTGTTATTTAGCAGGCCCAGGCTAGGTTCGAACCCACCTCAGTGTATGTGGCCAGTGCCCTACCCCTGAGCTACAGGTACCACCCCATTTACAAAATTTTTTTAAAGAAGTAGCCGTATATTGAGATATCACCTAACCCCAGTGAGAATGCCCACATCACACAGTCCCAAAGCAAGTTGCTGGCGTGGATGCAGAGAGAAGGGAATGCTCACGCACTGTTCACAGGACTGCAAACTAGTACAGCCTCTGTGGAAAGTGTAGAGATTCCTCAAGGAGCTAAAAGTAGATCCACATTGACCTTACAATTCCAGTACTGGGCATTTTACCCAAATAAAAAGAAAACATTTTCCCAGGGGGACATTTGCGCTAGAATGTCTGTAGACACTTAGTTCACAGTCACAAAGATGTGGATGGAGACAACCCCCAAGTGCCATGAATGGATTAATAAACTATAGTGTATGTATGCCATGGAGAACTATTCATCCTTTAAAAAAGGTAAAGGTTTTGCAACTTTTTTAACAACATGGATGGTTTTGAAGAATATTCTCCTAAGTAAAATATCACAAAATTGGGAAAACAAGCATTTCATGTACTCAGTACCAATTTTAAAATAGAAATTAACAATGACAGACACAGCCAGGCTTAGTGGCTCACACAGGTAATCCTTGCACTCTGGGAGGCTGAGGCAGGAGGCTCACTTAAGATGAGGAGCTGGAGACCTGTCTGAGTAAGAGACCACATCTCTACTAAAAATAGAAAAACTAGCCTGGTGTAGTGGTGCCCATCTGTAGCCCCAACTTGAGAGGCTGAGGCAAGAGAGTTTAAGGTTGCTGTGAGCTAGGCTGATGCCACGCCACTCTAGCCTGGGCAGCAGAGTGAGACTTTTTTTGTTGGGGGAAAGGGAAACAATGACAGATCCATACCAGAGAAAATCTCAATAAATTCAAAATGGGGAAGGACACTAGGGGGTTCAGTAGCTTCTCACCCAGAGGGTGCAGTGCATGGGTATGGGGCATACTTCTTGAGTGTAAGACACAACTACAATTCTTGACTTTTACCTGTCATGTGTAAATTATATAACCTAATGGTTTGTACACTGTATTAATCTGAAATAGTTTTTAAAATGGGGGAAAAAAGGAAGTAGCTGTATATGGCAGCACATGCCCGTAGTCCAGTTTACTCAGGAGGCCGAGATGAGAGGGTCACTTGAGCCCAAGAGTTACAGGTTACAGTGAGCTGTGATGACACCACTGCACTCCAGCCTAGGGGCAGAGCAAGACCTTGTGTCTCTCTTTTTTTAAAAACACAAACCTTATGTATGTCTTGCACTTATATGTATACACATGTACATAGATGCTTGAATATTCAGAATGGCATCCTATTGTATATTGTTTTCTATTCTCTATGTGACAGGATAGTGTGACATTTGCCATGTCAGTATCTTGCCATCTGTAGAGTGCTGTAGCATCAGAGCTCACAGCAACTTCAAACTCTGGGGCTTAAGTGATTCTCTTGCCTCAGCCTCCCAAGTAGCTGGGACTACAGGCGCCTGCCACAATGCCTGGCTATTTTTGGTTGCAGTTGTCATTGTTGTTCTGCAGGCCCAGGCCAGGCTCGAACCCACCAGCCTCAGTGTATGTGACCGGCACCCTAACCACTGAGCTACAGGTGCCAAGTCTATTTCAATATTTTTGATATTATAGTTCTTATATATCTTTGTGTACTCTCTGATTATTTCTTTAGGAAAAATTTCTAGAAATATAATTACAGTGTTAAAAGGGCTTATACATTTTTTTTTTTTTTTTTTTGTAGAGACAGAGTCTCACTCTGTTGCCCTCAGTAGAGTGCCGTGGTATTACAGCTCACAGCAACCTTCTAACTCCTGGGCTTAGGCAATTCTCTTGCCTCAGCCTCCAGAGTAGCTGGGACTACAGGCGCCCACCACAATGCCCAGCAATTTTTTTGTTGCAGTTTGGCCGGGGCTGGGTTTGAACCTGCCACCCTCAGTATATGGGGCCGGCACACTACTCAGCTGAGCTGCAGGTGCTGCCTGCCTTATACATACTTTTTCAAAATGAAAATGATTTTTTCTTCTAATTCTCAAGTATTATAGACTCAGTGACAAAAAGCCCAAACAATTAAACAAACTAGAAAGAGTTATAAGGATAATCGTAATAACCTCCCAGGCATAAACTTTATTAGTATTGTGGCATAGAGTTGGGTTTTCCTCTGGAGAGGCTTCCCTTGAAGGCTTTGGCACATGTTGCCACATACCTTGCAGAGCTGGGCCCCGTGATGTTCCTGTGAGCAGCTTGTGAGTGTCGCTTCCTTACGTTGGTGGTACTGTGCTGTCCCATTACTGAATTACTAGACGAGGGGTCTCATTTTACTTTGTGCTCCTCTGGTTATTGTGAGTCTGAACATTCTCAGTTCTTGTGGCTCTGCTGTCTGTAGCTGTCCCTGATCTTTCTTCTGTGTCCCCTCCCTTGTTGGTATGCAGGTGGCCTTTTTTCTACATTAGAAAATTATTCCTTAGTTCTGTTTATAACAAATATCTCTTTCCAGATTATAATTTTTCTTTTAATTTTATCTATGATTTAGAATTTTTATATAGTCAGACCTGTGAGACTTTGTTTTATGGTTTCTGATTTGGAAGGCAGGCTTAGAAAAGTCTTCCCTACTTCAGTATCCTATGAATATCTTATGTATTTCATTAAATTTTCTAATTTTTTTTTTTTTTTTTTTTTTTGAGA